TTGAGAGTTATTTGAGCACCAGAATCTGTTTAAAATCAATCACATAACCTAGAAAAGCAATAAAATTGAATTTTCTAAGCAAAATAATGCAGAAAACGTCTAAATTTGCTGAAACTGAAGCTTTTGCAATGCAAATACTCTAAATATTTTGCCCCTTCGAATTCTGTTGGAATTAAAATAAATATTTTGACTCAAATATGAAAATCATGATTGGCTACAAAACGAAATTCAAATGAAAAAAAAATCGTATTTCAAACCGATTACGCGGAGATCCCAAAGAAACGTGTTTCAGTATTTAAATGTTATCGAATGAAAGTGAAAATCTTTCGCGATAAACTTCATTAATTTTAATAGCTATGTTTATACGCTGGAGTCTCTTGAGCAGGCAAAATAGAAGCACATTTGAGTCTTTTCTTTGTGAAAGGACTTCTGTGGCCTTCCTTTCTTGCCATAGATTCTATGTAATTGTGTATTTTCTCAAAGCATTTTCTACGCAACATCTGACAAAAGGAGTGGTGAGAAATGATGTGTGCACGTAAATTGCGTTGCAATCTTTATTTATATTGTTGCAAAGATGAGAATTCAAATTAAACTTCCTCTTTTCCCATCGGCGCCCACAATGCGGGTGCATAATAATCCGGAGAAATGTGGAGAAAAAAAAGCAGTGAAATAAAATGGACGAATGTTATAAAACACTTTCTTTCTTCGCCAAAAAGGTTGTGAATAAAGTGAGGAAAAAGATACAAAAATTTTATTTGAAAAAAACAATATATATTTTCGCATTTTGCGTAGGCTCGGAATAAACAATTTATACAGAGACGCCGAAACATCGTCAGACCAGAGTGAAATATTAATTTGGTAAGGAAATGCCGCAAAAGTTGGGTGTAATTAATGTAAAATATTGGAATTTCACGAAATGTCTCATCGACCATTTCACCGGGTGTTATAAAATGCCACAATAGAAAAATGTTACGACATATTTTTCAATTACCAAAAGCAATTAAAATTCATTTTCGGTTGAAATCGTGGGAATTTTTTTTTCCCCATCAAGCACTTCTATTTATCAACCGGCAAATGTGTTTCCTTTCGTGCAAACGTTTTCTTCTTTATCGTTTTGGGGTTGTCGGGCGCATTACTTTTTCGCGATAGATAACAAAGTCAGAGGCACAATGAGCATTATTATACATTGTATGAGAGATTTTCTGTCGCATTTTCCTTTCTCCGATCGCCATTTTTCCGCGCGCGCGCGCGAAAACGCGCTGCATCGGCAGCGACGTGGGAGGAAAAGTGAAATTGCAAGATATCGAGACATAAATAGAGTAAGTAATCACAGTGTCATATTTCATTGGATGAACAACAAAGAATTCCTTTGATGGCATTTTTTTCGGAGGCGAACACACGATGAACAGGCGGAGAAAGTTGCGGGAGCCCAATCAGACACATTTCACAACACACAGCCGAAGAGCCAGTCGAAAAAGAGAGTGAAAGGCCTTTCGGTTGCTCTTCATAAACTCGCATTTCCATGACATTTCGTGGCGCCCATAGGAGTTGAGAGAGGCCAGAAAAAAGTCCACTCCATGGGCGTCAAACGTCTTCCTATACAAGAAGAAGAAGAGTGTCTTTTCTTAGCAAAAACTTCAACTCTTTTTGCGCCCAAAATATTCGAATCATCTCTCTCTCTCCTCTTTATCACTCTTTTTTGGCCAATTACACGCTTATGGCTTCGATGCTGGAAAATTTTTCACATCCAAAAGTGCCTCTCAGACGAAACTTAATTGATCAATTGGGTGAAAGTCACAATTTCAGGGTGAACAGAGCATCCCTTCATTCAATTTCCTCACCCTCAATCGACACCGAGGAAAGACTAACAGACATTCTCATGCTGGTGGTGATTGGAAAGGGCAAAATATTCACATGAGGGGTTAGTTTTCGCCTTAATCAAGTTCAACTATCCATTAGTCAACCATTAAGTGAGCATTTGATCTGGGAAAAACCGCACAGCGAACACAAAATGCTAAGATCTCAACTTTGATATGTAAAAAAGCTAATTTTTACGCTTTCTTTTGCTAAGATCTCAGCCATTGAGTGAACGGATTAGCGATCGTAGCGGCGACTAGTCAAATTACTGATGCGGCACTTAAATACACAGATGTCGCATCATGCAAAATCATTCCATTTCAATATTACACTTCATGATAACAACAAAGAAATGAATTGTATAAGAAAACCCATACAAATGCCCTAAAAACTCTGAGATTTGACGCTCTCAGTCCATAGTTTCCTTTCTGACATACATATGCAGCAAAATTTTGACAAGATAAACGTAACCTCATTCTCAGCGCACAAAATGAAAATAAACAGTGAAAAATTGCGCGAAAAAGACCCAAAAAAATGTGATTTGGTGAAGATATTCTGGATTTGCTTCTTATGAAGGCTTTGACAATAATAAATTAAGTGATCAGAGAGCAAAAGCCTTCTGCAAGGAAATCGCATGGCTTCAAAATAACCACCGTCCGGAGAGGCAAAGGCTTTTTACGGGAGATACTCCAGGAAACTTCCAGGACTTGACTTTCGTCACAGCGAAGGCTGTAAACGACGGACTTCATGAAGCTGACGAGAAATTTCACGTCCGGATAGTCCGGAAAGCTATGTTTCCACGTTAAGGAAGTCGAAGTGATCATTCTGAGGGACAAGATAGGGCGAAAAGCCACATTTGAGGTGTATTTCATTCTCATAGATCCTCCTGACTGGATCATGTGATCACATTCATTGCAAGGAGAAGATCGTTCAAGACAATGCCTGCATAATACCATCATGTGATTCATAATCAGCGCTCTAAGCAGAAATAAGCAAGCAATTTAGCAAAATATTAAGCTAAAAATGGTGGGAAATACAGAAAATTGATTGGAATTAACTGAAGGCTTAACATTTTGCTTCAAATCGCTGTGTTTCTAACACATTTGAATTTTCTCCATCGTCCGCTGCGATCGCTTCGGTTTAGCAATTTTCAGCTAAAATATCTGCTTTTATTTTAGCTTTTCTGGTTCACTGGGAGAGCAAAATCGAACCTATGCGTACGAAATTGCACACTGACCAATAAAAAAGGCAATAAGCAAGTAATGCTGCCTTAATTGTGTGTGCCTTGTGGATTTTTGAATTGTCGGGCTTCAACTCTTTTCGAGTAAACAATACGTTTTATATATATGCACAAAAACCCAGAGAGAACTGCAAAGGGGGAAATTTTCCAAAAATAATATCGTGACTCTCGGTCATTTAATGCACTTTTGGGCAGAAGAGACCAAAAAGAAGAAAGAGGGCAAAAAAAAATCCCGGAAACAATTCATGAATTTTTAATAATGCATTCAGTGGACAATTGTTGGGTCTTTTTTAACACAGTGAAGAAAAAAATAAATAAAAACGCACCAACACTCTTGCGCAACAAACACTGAAAGTACACACGAAAACGAGCCAAAGCAGATCCGCATGTTGTGTTATTTCCAAGTGCAAAAATTCCCTCCAACATTTCAACACTTTTGCCCACAAGTTTTCAGGCACTTTTCCAGAAGCCGGATCTGAACTTGAACGCATTTCATAGACTCTTGGTTTTAACAACAACAAAAAAAATTTCCTGTTTCCGCAATTTACGCCTTTCGCACTGGCTTTTCACAATTTCCACTGTGTGTGTGTGTTTGTTTGCGGGAAAATAGTGGGCATTGGAAGATTTTCTCTTTTTTTTCCCGCCAAGTCGCTTTTTCCCCGCCAGAGTTGGCGGAATTATTGACAAATTATTTTTATTATTATTTTATACTTCTGCAATCGCCTTTGCGTCACTATTTTTTCCATCGCTCACAAGAGCTCTTGTTCAATTGGAAAATTGCATCAGTTCATTTCACATTCATTTGATTCGCCTTCAATTGGCGTCGAGCTGCAAAGTGCAATAACCGCAAGTGGCAATAAGCTATTTATAAAAAGAGAAAGTATTAATTAATGTTTTTTTTTACTATATTACTATACTTCTTTTTCTATCCTCCTCGTCGTGGTTTTTTGCTGTGACGCCCAAAGTAGGGTGGATTTTAGAGACGTTTGAAGACGTCATCGAATTTGACATTTCCATTTTTGGACACTCTGCAAACTTTCAGTGCAAAACTAATATAAATGTTTCAACAGTTCGCGCACATGCAAAAGTGCATGAAGAACATTTTCAAGACATCTGAGCAGGAAAATCAAACAACTCGGGCTGATCATTCGAAGAAGTGTTTCTCAATTTTCTATTCTGCTCAAAATAATAAATTTATCCCATCGCGTCCCCGAAGAGTGTGTTTCGAAGTAAGAAAAAAAACAACGAATTTATTCATTGAACTTTATGAATTATTGAATAGATTTTACTCATGCAACAATAAATAATTGAACATGTCTCTCTAATTTAAATAGACGTGTTAAGAGTGCGTCTGTAGTTGTTCAACCAGACACACAATAAATGAACACTTCTTCTCTCCAATTTGCCTCTCTCGCATCGTTTTTCCACATACTTTGCATCACTTCTGCTGGTTTCTTCCACTGAACAGGACGTCAGTTGGTGCAAAGCGGGCGTCTAAATATGAATTCAACGGCAAAAGCAGCGGAAAATAAATTTGAATAATGGCTAGAATTGCAAAATGTATTCTTAAATGACTTAAATTGACAGTAAAATGCTATGAGAAGATTAAAAACAGAATGAAAATGTTTTTTTTTTTGAAAAATAACTTTATTAGTGTGTCGAGTGTTGAGGAGAATGATTGCTCTATTCTCCGCAATGAGCGCTGTTGACACCGTTCTCAAAAAACCTGTTAAAGCTTTATGAAAAAAGTTCGACAATAAAGCGATATTTTGTGAGAAAAGGAATTTGATTTGCATAATTCGGTGAATTAGAAGGCAATAAAGTGGGTTTTCCTCCAAATTTTCATCCGCATCATCATTTTATTCACTCTAAAAACAGTTTCAGGAACAGTTCTGGGAAACGTCAAATTCCCAAACATAACCTGTCACACAGTGATTACAATTCGCTTGTAAAAGTGAGAGTTATTTTGTGAAAATGGAAACAACAATTACACTAAATACCGACATTTGTCGCATCTGCGAAGAGTCAAAGAATTATCTTATCAATCTGTATGAGGAAAGCAACGCACACTTGTTTGAGAAACTGAAAGAAATTGAGAATGTCGCGGTGAGATTGCCAAAAAATGATCTTTTTTGAGTTTTGTTTTCCCATTTCGGCTTTTTTGCAAAAATCACTGATTATTCAATTTTTCTCCACTCTTCAGGAGACAGATGAAAATGTTGCTTATGATAACATGTTCAGGTACATCTGCACAAGCTGTGAGAATACAATTGAGGGTTTCTATGAGTTCAAGATTCAGTGCCAAAACACACGAAGCAAGCTGATGAACGCCGCCACTTGTGGAGTCTTTGGGCAGCCGCAGCCGACGTTCATCATTCTGGATGAGGCATCGCAGCCGGCCGAGAAGGATGTGGTTGTGGACGAGACGGCGTCAGAGAGTTCAGTTGAGCTGATAGAAGACAACGATGCCATTGAGATTGACGGAGAAGAAGTGTCTCCGGAAGCGACAAATCCGTCAAACTTCCCGCTGAAAATTGTCTCCGTGGTGAGTCAGGAGTTCACGATAACCGAAGTGCCCAATCCCAAGTCCGTGCTCTGCACGATTTGCAACAAAAAGGTGGCCGCGAAGACTTTTGACATGCACAAAGCGCGACACGAGCAGAAGAAGATCTTCGAGTGCAGCGAATGCTGCAAGACATTCACCAGCAAGAGATTCTGGATTGCACACCTGAAGGATCACATCAGTGTGCGGGAGAATCAGTGTGATCAGTTCGACAAGGCCTTCATGGTGGCGGGACAGGCGCAGAATCACAAGATCACGCATTCCGAGGAGAAAGGCTACGTGTGTCCGATCTGCGAGAAGGGCTACAACAGATACCACAATCTCAAGGGTCACGTGCAGAAAGTGCACGGCAAGACGATATCAATGGTCGGCAATGCCCAGTAAAAAGGACTCGGGTGAATATTCTGCTTGGGACATCAATTTCAATCACGCAATCGAATCAAGTATAAATGCATTGAAAACCTGACCTACTCAGTTCTTAAATGACGTATTTTGATATCCAGTTTACTTCGATTCTAAGAAAGGCATGCTAAGAAAATCTAAATTATCCAAAAAAAAAAGATGGGGAAAAGTGCTTCAATTCTGTGAATAATATCAACATCATCCTGAAGAATTTATTCGTTATAGAATAAAAAGAAAACTCAAGATAATGTGAAATGTTGAGTGAATTTGAGCGATATTGTTTTATTCTTCATTTCTAATTTGATGACACAATCAAGGAAATGCAAGAAACCCTGAATTAGACACGTAAGATAATCTTATATGGTGTAAATCAGTGAATATCATAGTGTAAATATCGAAATTACGTTTTATTTTTCAAGTTTTATATGAAATAAATGCCATATTTTTTGTAAAACTCTTCTTTTATTACTTGAATAAGAGAGTTGAATCAGTGAGTTTCAGGATTTTGATACAAGGTTTTGATATTTCAAAATATTAACCTCTTTTTGAGATGAAGTATTGATCCTTTTCCTCTTCCTGGCAAACACGAATTGGTTTAGACGGTTGGTTTTGGAAATCAATGGGTTTTTTCTTTGTCTGTTCATCACATCTGAAGCTCACATTTATAATAGGATTAGAAATTATCCTCAAGTGCCCAGAAAACAGGAGAAAAAACTCTTAATCTTCGACATGATTGCGGCTTTGTCTTTCGCCACTTATTTATTTGATTTCATCGATTTCATTGGATTTCCACCATTTCCACTAACATCTAATTCGTGTTTTGCAGTGTTAAATGCTAAGTATGTAGATGGCGTTAGGGGGGAGCCAGCCATATTGGATTTTGGAATAGCGAGAAGAAGGACGCCAAATAAAGAAGTTAATTAATATGCAAAATGCAGGATGACAATCAGCGTGTCGTATTGCAGGCCATGGAGAAAGGCTGCGGTCAGAGAATCTCTGACAGAATAAAAGAAATTCTGATCGCAGCCGAGTATATAAATATATCCATGGTCTGCAACATTTCTGTTGAGGATCTAAAGCGCGAGCTCCTGGAAACAGCGTAATTGTTGAGGATGAGGAAGAGCGCAGTGATGACTGAATTTAAGCGCATCACAGTAAGTACATAAATCTTGTGTCTTGTGGTTTCTGGCGGGGAACCACGGCGTCCTCGAGTCCTTTCACGTGGGCGTAAAACATTCACTTATCTTCCCCTTAATTTTGTCTCAAATGTATTTTCCGCACTTAGTGTATTCTCCTTATACAGCTTCACTTCTTATGATAATTTATGCGCATCTAATGCTAATTCTATTTTAACTTATAGCTTGGGTCCTTCTGCTTATTTACCTGATTAAATGTCTTTTCTTGCCCAGCCGAAAAACCTTCGCACGATTCTCTGGAATCATGTGTCGTTCACTTAACAATATTTTGATATGTAACACTTATAAAGTCCAGACAAAGAATGAAAATCAATAGGACAATTATCCTGAAGACACCTCGGATTCATTTAAACTTCATTAAGATCCCAAAACATTCTTAAATGGCAAGAATTTAAATGTTACTCAAAAGGTTCTATTTAATTTGGAGGATTTATTACTGCACAGATTCTGTTTCAGTGTCACAAAGGGATTAAGGACTAGGCTTAACGGCTTCAAACTCGGCATGGTAGTTACTTATTAATGAGGGAAGATTGCTGGGAAAATTCACATTTCTAGCGTCACGGGGAAATTCATGGCAGAGCCTCAAGTGGCTCTATTTAATTTGGAGTAACTGTATAATGATTTCAAAACTCAAAGGTCTGTCGGTAATGCAGATTGCGTTCCTTCATAACCTCTTTTCCCAGTTTGTTTACAACTTGGCCATGTCTGATGGATTTTACTCGGTTGAATCCCTTTTACACCTCTTTCGCAAATTCGGTGTTGGTTTCCGGCCAGCCACGGACACCTTCTTCGATGCTGGCAACAAACTCATCAAGCCATTCATCCGGATGGGCGTCGTGAGCAATCCTCCAGACGTCGACGCTTTCCGCCCAGTGTGAGTTTCTTTGTTTGACCCGCTTTTGCGCCAAATATTCCTCAACTGAGTGTCCTTCTGTCTCCAGGGATATCATATCCTGCAGTGTTCCTCACTGCGAAGCTCAATTCGAGAGCCTCGAGAACTACGAGAATCACTACAACTCCCTGCACAGATTCACTTGCGCCGAGTGCCGGAAGTCATTCCCATCGGCGCATTTGCTGGACTTGCATGTGTCGGAGAATCACGATTCCTTCTTCCTGGTCAGCACGAAGAAGCGCCCAATGTATTGCTGCTACATCGAGGAGTGCGGCGAGAAGCATTGGACTTCGGAGGAGCGTCGAGATCACTGCATTTCAGTGCACAAATTCCCCCACAATTTCCGCTTTGGGCTGCCGATGAAGGTGACCAAGGAGGATGCCAAGATGGACACATGTCAGCCCCAGGAGGGCGCCAAGGAGACGAAGAAAGCACTGAAGTCCTTCACATTCGGCCACGGCGTGACCAGAACATTCGAAAAGGGCGCCGCGAAGCAAAAGACTGGCAAATCTCGCATCCTCGAGGACGATGGAAACAAGGATATGGTCATGGATCTCATGGAGAGTCTCCCGGAGTAGTTTTCTCTCTCTCGCGTGAATTTTGATAAATATATAATAAATACACTTTAATATTATCTACAGGCAATAAATAACGAGATACTCAAGCTTCATTATCGAACTCATTGGAGTCGAGCGGTTCGGTTGACGAGGCAATTGCCGTGGATTCTGTTGCATTCGATGATGATTCCTTGGTGGGATCGGCTGGCGCCACTTCGCATCGATCGCCACGGAATCCACTGGGACACTCGCACCGGAAGCTGCCCTCATCCCTCGTCACTGACATGCATTTCCCGCCATTTGTGCAGGTCGATGGGTTCTTATCGCAATAATCCAGCGCCTCGTCGCACAGCATTCCGCCCCATCCGGGCTGACAGTTGCACTCCCATGGGCGGCGACAGGTGCCGTTCTTGCAGCCCGGATACGGGAAGCACTGTGTGCAATTCTTTCCCCACCAGCCGACTCTGCATCGACACTCGCCGGGCTTCTGGCAGAATCCGTGCGTCTTGTGGCAATCCTGACTGCAAATGGCTGAAAGCATTGAAGAAATATTACCCAGAATTCCCTTCAAGATCATCATGATTCATTTGAAAGACTGTTCACAAGTGCATCCGCACTTACACAGCGCTGACTTGAACAGTTACGCAAATTACTGGAGTGAGAAGATCGAGATCACAAGTGATCATGAGCCAAATGCTCGCGCGATATTATTTCGCGATCTCTTCAATCTCGACCGAGACTAAACCACTTCTCACGTGCTTCATTTCTTCACCGTGGAAACAGAGAATTAGCAGCTGAGATTTGCATCACAGCTACTATCGCGCAAAATCAACTGAAATGGACTCAGAAAGGCAAAATATGGCCGAAAAAGGAGTCATCATTGGATCTGTCCGCCATTTTTAATTTCCCTAAATCATATTTTCGCTTATTTACTCAGTCGCTATGGAATGGATTAGCCCCAAATTTTGGTATATTGTAGCTGAGACCAAGACCTTTTCAATGATACCCCTCTTATGGAGCTTGATGCTTTAGAAGCGGAGATATGAAAGGTCAAAGTTCACACCTTCACCGGCCCATATCTCAGTTGTTTAGATACCGATTTTGATCATTTCTTCACTAAAAGACACGTCTTAAGGCCCTTTAGCAGGCTACATTCATTATTAGTTTATGACGTCATTACGAACGACGCCATATTGAATTAACTTTGAACGCCTGTATCTCGGCAAATCTATTATGCATTTTGATCAAATTGTAGTATGTTGTAGTCCAGGTTAAGACGTCTCTAAAAACAGGTCATAACTTCTCACCGATGTATTAGAACCGGAATTATGATGGTTTGAAATTTTTATATTACAATTGCGTTGATCCGGTTGATCACATTTCAAATAGCCTTATTTCGTCCTTTCTTATTTGGCAACCACACTTACCATTCTGGCAGAGGAATCCGCGATATCCCGTCTCACATTTGCACTCCAACGGTTTCGTGCACGATCCATGAACGCAGCCAGGAAGTACTTGGCAGCTTTGGCATGTAGGACCTGCCCATCCTAGACGGCATCTGCACTCACCAGGATATTCGCAGTATCCGCGGGTTTGATGGCAGCCTTCTTTGCACATCGCTGGAAGAAGAAAACGGCGATTGGACGGTGATAAAATCTTCAAATTCGGGCAAAAACTCACGTTCTGAGCAGAAGAGTCCGTCCCATCCTTTCTTGCAGACACACTCGAAGGACGTCGTGTTGCATCCGCCATGCTGGCATCCAGGAAGTGGAATGCACTTGTCGCACTTCGGCCCGTAGAAGCCCAGCTTGCAGCGGCACTCGCCAGGACGCTTGCAGTAGCCCTGCATCGGGTCGCAGCCCTTCCGGCAAATGGGCACATCGCACAGATCTCCAGTGTAGCCCGTCAGGCACTTCACCTCGCCGTTATCGTCGCACACATAGTGTCCGTTCCTCGGCAATTCGCAGGCCTGCGTGAGCAACGGAGAAGTCCCCAAAATAGCACCATATATGTAGTTTTTGCTCCAATTTATCACACCATTTACCTGCTTCTTCCACTTTGGCACATAGCGTCCAGCGGAAATTCCATCCAGCATTGAGGTCAATCCGAAAATTAACACCACAAGAGGCGTCATTGTGATTTTGGTGAAGAACACACAGGATTTTCTTTCTCACAATCTCTCAATATTTGCCGTCTCTTTAAGAGGTCACCAGGTTTCTGACTATCGCGCGCGCTTCTCACCGCTTCCGCCAAGATCCACCGTGCAAGTGGTTCGTTTACGATCATATATTTCAATTCAATAGTCCGCGAGAAAGAGTCGAGAGAGCAACGAGACTTTCTTTTAGCTCCCTCTCTTTCACGCCATTTCTTTGCCCAAGTGACATTGAACTTGGTCGGATAACGCGAGTCACAAAAGAAGAATTCTTATAGCTATGAGAAAGAAAACTCGACACCGCCGCCAAGGTGGGTCAATTGCGCGTTCTCTCGAATTTGGCGCGAATTTTACCAAAATGCGCCTACAACTTGACTAAACAGGAAACTCAACAGCATTTCTCAATTGCAATCTTTCTTGAATTTCCCAAGCATTCACAGTTCTGCCCGTTTTGCCAATTATATTCTTTTCTCTGTCGATGGGTGAATTGAAAAGTATGAAAAATCGACTTTTGATACTTAATATTCTCAGGTTACCAAATTACCAAAGAGAACAATTGGAAATTAAAGAAAATGATCACAATTGGGCAATATTTTCAATTTAATGCAAAATAAAAAAGAGTTTAGGGAAAAATTAGTCAATTATGCATTTTATATGGATATTTGAGCTAATGCTGGGGGTCTGGGGCACTCGTCGATGTGAAATAAACAATATTGTTGGAATATTTGTGAGAATGATATTTTGTTGCTAAAAATCCCGCTGAAATGCTAATTGTCCGCCCCTCGCGACTGTCATCGATTATTTGACAGCAGCTGTCAGTGGTGGAGCAAGGCAAAATGTCACGTTTCTTGTTTACAAAATATTCTCAGTGCTAGGGAAAAAGGCAGAGGCATTTTTCACGTGCTTTTTCACGCTGTAGTCAACATCACACGATAAGCTAGTCAGGTAGATTAGTCAGGAAGTTAATGTGAAGGCGAAATGGCGAACGATAGGGAAGTTCTTCGTCTGGTGTGGGAGGGCAAGATTCCAATATGTTTTCAAGCTGATCCAGCTGAAGTGGTCGGATTGCAGCCTCCGGAGCCCTTCTACCTCATGGTTCCACGTCTCAGCTACTTGCCTCTAGTTACAGATAAGGTAAAGCCTTCGGAGTATTTGTGCTAATTGCAAAATCACATTAATGTCGTGAGTTCTTCTGTCGCAGGTTCGGAAGCATTTCGTACGTTTCATTTCAAATGAACAGCAAGAAGGCGACATTTGGTTCGACTGCAATGGAACACCACTGAAATGGCATTATCCAATCGGTGAGATTATGATAAGAGGAAGTCTGATTAATCTTTTGTCTCTCGAGAAGACTCATGGCGAATTTGATGAGTGTTTATCAGAAGGCGCTGCGCGTGAACTTGAACGTTTGCCAATCGGCATTCATGCCGAAATAGCTCAGTTGGGAGAGCGTTAGACTGAAGATCTAAAGGTCCCCGGTTCAATCCCGGGTTTCGGCAGAAGCTTTTTTGCCTTTTTTCACCATCAACAATCGCAGTTAACTGCGATATTTTAATTTATTGGTCAATTTTAGTGCATAATTTCACAATCAGGACACAATTTTGTGTGCAGAAAAGTGAGGAAAAATCAATGTATCAATCTCTAAAAGCTCACATAAAAACACCATAAATTAATTGCACAACGGTATCGTTCATAATATTAATTCAAAGAAATGCGCGTATTCAAATTTGAAATAATGCAAATAAATTGTTGTATTTTTGTCTTTCTCCATTTTGGCACATTTTGAATTTTACAGCGAAAGTAAACCACAATTAATTTCTCTCTTCTCATTGGTTTCAAAATTCGTCTTTGAATATTTATTTTTGATGATGTCCAGAACGGAGTCAAGACTGCAACATTTTCACCACATGAATAAATCCCAAACAGTGAATTTACAATAAATTTTCTCCTAGGTGTTCTCTTTGATCTCACAATGGGAGACGAGGAGCCCAATTTGCCATGGAATGTCACCATTCACTTCGGCAATCTGCCCGGTGAGTTCGTGTTCAAGTGCCCCACGAAGGAGGTTGTGGAGGCGCACTTCATGTCCTGCCTGAAGGAGGCGGACCATCTGAAGCATCGCGGCCAGATTGTCTCCGCCATGCAGAAGAAAGATCACACGCAACTCTGGCTGGGCCTCGTCAATGACAAATTTGACCAATTCTGGGCTGTGAATCGGCGCCTCATGGAGTCGCACGGGGATCAAGACTACTTCAAGTATATTCCGGTCAGGTGTTACAATGAGGTAAACACAGAGAAATCACGTGTTCAAGAGCCAAAAACTGAGTCTTCTTGAAGCTATTCTGAATCTTTTTGGTCTTTTTCGGTGTAAATTTTGGCGGATTAAGTGAAAATTGCCGAATTTTACCTCAAAAACTCACTTAATCGTTCGATGAAGTGTTATTATTGTCTTATAATCATTATTTTGTCAATGTTTCAGTTGATTTTATTGGCAATTATTGGAATTTGGATGAAAGGATGACAAATTTAATAGATAACTAAAAAATATTAGCGCACAAAAGTGGATTTTTAATCAGTTTTCAGTATTTTGAGTGTATTTTATCCAAACAAGTTACAAAAAATCAACTTTTCATACTTTACATTAATTTTTCCAAAGTTTTTAATTGATAAAATACAACAAATATGCCAAATTTTCTCAATAAAAGTCGAAAAAGTTTTAAGGAGATTCCCAAAAATCTAAAATTAGGATAAGGAAATTATTTTTTACTGAATAAGACTAAAATATACTAATTATCATCCATAAAATCAAGTCGATTTCGGAGTTAAGAACATATTATTTTTATTCCTAAATTTTTGTGGGCTTGCGAAGAAGATTTATTTCAATTTTCTTCAGAATAAAAGCAAGGAATTTTCCAATGCTTTTTTTAAGCGGTAAAATACTGATTTTAAGACTGAAACGGACCTAAAATTGATACTGAAATTTAAAGTTCGTCTACAATTTGGGATTAAAACCAAGAAATGAATAATCTTAATCGGTTTTCCAGTCCTAAATTAATCTTCTCAGTATAAAATCAAGACGAAAATCTTCGTTTATAGTTTTTTGACTTGATTATTCTTGGAAATATGCTGAAATTGACTAAATTCTAGCCTGATTTTCCTCTCAGTGTTGAGTGAAATTTTTGTATTTGTCGCGTGGCGCTAAATTGATAATCATTATTTCTTCTTCTCCTTTTTTTCTGGTTAGGATGGAACATTTGTGCAGAAACTGATCCAGCCGACGTCCACGACAAATCTCAAGCAAACGCTGAAGGACCTGTTGGAATGCTTTTCATCACCTGCCCACCGCGCAGGTACAAAATCCCACACAATTCATGGTAGATTTTAACGAAGGTCCTTCTCGCAATTCAACCTCATGTCCTCGACTGAGCAAAGAGACAGAAATTCACTTTTGCACCGAGAGACTTTACGGTGTCTTCAGGGGACTTGTGAGAAGGTGTATTTTATTGAGGGGACACAGAGAGTCATAAAAAGGAGAGAGGAAAAAAAATCCTCATCCTCAACACATAACGCTAAAAGGCAACACCTTTTGGCCATGACGAAAGCAAAAAGAAACCTGACGCGAGTGCGCGCTTCTATCTTGAAAGCATTTATTGCATCATCGGCATCATCAGACATTTCATTTCTCAATCATCTCATTCTTATTTCCCTCTCTTTCTCTCTCTCTCTCGCACTTTGCGCGCCGAATGACGTTTCAGTGGAAAACGCCACAGATTTTCCACAATCACTTTATAAAAATCTTGTAAATTACCCTCAATTAGGCCGTTAATTGCCACATAAGATCCGTGGAATTTTAACTAATACAGATGATGATTACCTGGATTGAGAGTGTTGGCGAGAATCTTTCACATGGAAACATTTCTCAACACAATTCTGGGTTGAATATTGCAAAAAGAAGCACTTCTTTCTAACCTTCAAAATATTTATGACTTTACTGCAAGGTGCATTTTAGGGCGACTTTGCTTTCCTTCGGCAATTTCTCTCTAAAGTTTTACAACATGATATTGTATATGATTTAATCCTCAAGAAGTACACCTTCTTCTCCTGTCCAATTTACCCTCAACCTCGTCGCTCTCAGACTTACAGGCACGAAAAGGTCATTTTTATGCAAATTTATCATCCTTCCACTCACTTCTAAAATCTGCAGAGAAAATAACTCAAGGTGCTTTCTGAGTAGGTCTTAAATAAATCAACAAAGATATGACAACTTTTGCCCATCTTCTCTCTCTCTCTCTTCGCCCCAAAGACAACCCGTTGCGGACATAATCTATTTCCATAACGACGGGTGAATTGAAGACTATCAAAAGTCAGAATTGCCATTTTTTAGCAGAGAGAATTCAATATTTAGCATCAAAATTGCTACGAAATTTGCCAATTTACTTAAAAAACCCTTAAAACGTCTTCAAATCGTCTGTTGAAGTGCAAATATTGCCCTGAAATTATTAGTTTGTAAATATTTTAGTTGATTTTATCGGTATTTATTAAAGATTTGGACTAAAACATGGCAAAATTAATAGAAATTTTCAAAATATTACTTTCCAAAGTTGATTTTTATTAGTTTCTAAGTCTATTTTATCCAAAAAATCAACTTTTCATACTTCAATTGAACTTTTCCTTAATGTTTTCAAGTGAAAAAAATTTAAAAGATATGAGAAATATTCATTCAAAGTCCAAAAAAAGCTTTTTTGAACTATTTTCTGAAAAGGCGTTTTATGTTTTTGACTGCAAATTTTTGAGACATTTTTCTGGGAAAAATTTTACAGCGTAAACAATGAATATTTCACTTTTCAATTTGCAAAAAATGACAATTTTTTCCATTTGTACTTTTTAGATAAATAAGATTTTTTCGTTATTGTCTCATAAGATACAAATCTAAAAATTTTTGTGCACGAAAAACAAATAGAAAGCTTTTTAAAAATTCATAAGACGAAAATTTGTGATAAATCGACTTTTCATAGTTTTCGATTCACCCGTCGATAATAAAACTATGCATGCATTAATCACTGATTGACTGTTCTGAAAAAAAAACTGTAAACAAGTGGGAAAAAAATTCAATTCCAAGTGTCGTTAAAATGAGAGGAAAAAGAACATCGCAAGACTGCAAAGGGAGACACAGAGTCTCCACAGTCTGTGCAGATTTCAATCTCAAAACGCCGAGAGTTCATTTTCATCATTTTTTCTCTCTCTTTCTTTCTCCCACTGCACTTGAATAGATGAAGTTCCAAGAACAAAAAAGTGGCAAGAGAGAAAAAGGAGCAAATCAGCTTTGAATAACGCTAAATCAGATTGAAATCTCCTTGAAGCCGAGAGAGAGAGAGCGAGAGAGAGAGAGAGGCTGAATTTCGGTCCAAGACGCGAGAGAGAATCTTTTACAACATTGTCGAGGAAAGACTGCTGGAAAAGAAAAGAGTCTTGGTGGAAGATGGGCAAAAGAAGAAATACAATTTTTGAGATGCCTCTCAATGCCTTTGTATATGTGTTGTAAATTCCTTTTGAGTCACCTTTATTTAAATCACATTTTGGCTTTTTAACCCAAAAGAAAGAGCGAGACGCACGACGATTGGGGGTTGAGATGGGAATATGCCTTTTTAAAGAGGACGGAAAGTGAAGGAAATCAAAGGCGATTCTTTGTATTTCATCTCCTTTTTCTTATATGGCCCAACTTTTCATTTATTCCTCTTCAGCATTTTCTGTCCACACACCATTCAATCGTTTGCGCGCGAAGCTGTGTTGGAGAGCTTTTTTCTTTCCCAAAAAATTCCCCTCTCTCTCTCTCTTCCTCTCTCCGTATCTCGACCATTGGGCAGTTTGTGAAGATGGATTTTTTGGTAGTAGAACGAGATGGAGATTCACGAAAAGTTGGCTGTGAACTGAGATTTCTCAGCCAACTTGTCTGCGATCGGAAGAGAAAAGCCAATGAGGTTGGCGGGAAAATAGAATGGAAGCGTATTCAAAGTTATGACCTTTCTTAGAGACGTCCTGACGTGGATTATGACATTTAATTCTTATCCAAATGGATAAATGATTTGCCAAGATACAGGCGTTCTGATTTAATTCAATATGGCGTCGATCGTAATGACGTCATAGACTAATAATGGTTGTGGACTATTAAAGGGTGTCAAGACGTATTTATTCGCGAAGAAATCATCAAAATCTGTTGGTGAATAGCGAAGATAAAGGCTGGTAAAGGTGTGAACTTTAACCTTCCATATCTCCGCTTCTAAATGATCAAGATCCATAAGTGGGGTATCTTTGTAAGGACCTTAACCTCAGCTATAACATACTAAGATTTAAAGAATATGCAAAATGTTTCTTTAGAGTTATTCGACTTTAAAGATTCGATTATCGTTTTTGACTTCAGCGCTCCTAGCGGTGGTTGAATCAAGTCATGGTGTTTGAGTGAAAGATGGCATTTTGTAAGATCTTTCCAATTCAGTTACGTTAATTTTATTTTTGACATTCTGATCCTGAAATTTAGGGTTCAAGAAGACCTAGATTCTTAAGTGTTAGTTCGTTGGAGAGGACTTGAGACCAGCTTGAATATACTAGGATTTGGGGCCAATCCTTGTCAAAGGAACCGAAAAAATGAGGAAAATGTCTTTTAGGGATGTTCAAAATGGCGGACAGACCCAATTATGACTCCTTTTTTAGTCATATTCAGCCTCCCTGAGTCCATTTTAGTTGATTTTTCAATCCCAACGAGATAAATAAAAGTAGATTCTGAACAACCAAACTGTGAATTTCCATGGAATTGAACACATTACAAAAATAAGATCATTAATCGATTCCTAATTCCCATAATTCAATTTACAATCAAGTTTCTCGCATTTTGATTTACTCCGTAAGAAAAATCACATATGCTTGATGCCACACGAGAATTCTCTTCTTCTTCGCCACATCGCTTTTTTCCCGCACATCTTTTTTATCTTTCAGTGGTTTCTCTCTTGGCACCTTCCAAAACAGAGGAGGAGGAAGAAGATGCTGAAGAAGAAAAAAATATTTCCTTCTCTGTTTTACTCTCCTGTCGGTCGAATTTAATTATCAATTTCTCAGAATCCATTCAAAATGGTTAAGAGATTTTTTTTGTCGTTGTCTCTCTTTTCAACAAGAAGAAGAAGATGGAACTCTCTTTGGCGGAGAGACATAGAGAGAGTGCGAGAGAGAGACTTTTTGGCTTCTTGTGGCCACAACAAGTATATATATAAGAGAGGAAATATCCGAATGAAATATTTTCTTGTACACCTTCTTTTTTCCCAGTTGCGGCACGAATGCACGGCATCACAGTCGACATGGACACACCTCTTCAATGGCTCTCTGAACACCTCTCATACCCGGACAATTTCCTCCATATTTGCCTCCTCTATGACGATGATAACACCACGATAGCGGCCGATAATGATTCATCAGTTTGCTGAAGACACACACACACATGTCCAGAGTGTTTCTTTTTTTTATTGTCATTAAAAGGGAAGAAAAAAAGTCTCTCAATTTTTATTTCCAATTCTATTCTTTTTTGCACAGACTTTTATAGCATTTTCCGATATTTTATTGTTTTCATTCTCAACTTAGATCATAAGCAAATTGGCAATCCGCATTGAAGTTTTGCCATTGTGAACTCTTTGTATTCCATTTGTCCATCGTTAACGCTTTGGAGACTTTTTCTCTACATATATATAAATGTATGTGTCAGAATTGTGTTTTTAGAATTTATGTCAAAATATACTACGCGAAAAAAATAAAGGAAAAAAAGAGCGTATTCACAGGATGAGAAAATGTAATGATAATAATAATGTGGAAAAGCACAGCATCTCAAGAATTGTCTCTCTATCATCGCGCAGTGCAACCAAATTTCATCTCCCTTCTTTGGACGAAATGGCTTGAGAAGGGAATTGAGAAAGAAAAAGAATGTTTTTGTTACAATTTCGAGTTCCTGCCGAGGGAGAGAATTTTTTTTTACTCCTCCTCCTTTTTTCGGACTGAGCGAGTGAGAGAGAGAGAAAAATAAACAAAATTGAGCCCGAGAATCGAGCTCATCCGCTTGTAAGAGTTGAAACGAGGCACGACGCCACACTGTCTGGTTGAGACTTTCTGCCTTATTTCTTCTGCTGTATATGTGTGAATGTTTTGTGCCACAAAGGCCAAGAAAGAAGCTCTCGATGAATGCGTTTGTCGCTCCAACATAAATATTTTCACCCAAGCAGCGACTCTGTTTCGATCTTTCTCGCCCCCTTTGCGTCTCTCTCCACCTCAAAGACCTCTCTTCAATTTCCCCGCCCGAAAACGCACTGTGGTCCAAACGCCACGCATCTCGCCTTCATAACATCTCTCATGCACGCCAGAGCTTCCAGCATCGAATGTGTTGTGTTGTGGATCAAATAGAATTTTGCACAGATTCGTCGTGTCTTTCTTATTTCTGCCACAGAAACCAAGGGGTTGCTCAGATCGATTTCGAATGCCATCAACATCTTGCAGTTCTGTTCAAGATCTAGAGACCTTAGAAAATGAAAAACTCATCATAATAATAGATTCGGGAATTCCGTGCGGGTTTAAGGCCTGAAGCTAGATATTTAACGCGAAAAAGAATTTAACTAACATTCATACGGCATATACGACCAATGAACCGAGTTTTCTGCCGTTTTCTCAGGGAAATCGACTGTGAAGTCGGCGGCAACCGCAATCGTGGAGGAAAAGAATGAATAAATTATTATTATAAAATATAAAATTTGTCTTTAAATACAGAAATTAGAAGATTTTGTAAGAAAAAAGAATTTTGTGGGTGTAAAAAAGACTTTGAGGTTAAAGTTTAGAGACAACTTTTTAATACTGAACGAATAAAAGACACTTTACGGTTTTTCTCTATTTTCGACTTTAGATAGCGTATTGATAAATATATTTTCATTAGAATTGTATAAAAATCAAGTGGTTTTTCCAATTCCACGTACGTTTTAAACGTAAAACCTTGCGTAAAACCCTAATTATCCGATTAAAGATTCAGTATTTATGCAAAATAGTTTATTATTTGGTGATTCCAAGCTTTTCCTCTCTTTAAGAACTGTTTATAATAATTTTTGTAAGTGAATTTTAAAGAGATAACGAGATGAAATCTGGCATTTCGTGCCAAGTGACACTGAATTTGCAATATTAGCAGCCCTTTGCACATGATTTAGTGACAAACGCGCTGTGCGGCGGAAAATGCCATCGCGAAAGGGTTAACAGCTACCATCTGGGGAATTTTCCCCTTCACCATTGCTTGATGCACTCGATTAGTCAACATCAGTAAGTGCCAATTGGCATGTGAGGAGTGAAAAAGGAACCACATCCAATTTTTGCCGCCCAGCAAATGCACCTGAAAGTGTCTATCAAAGTGCTGAGAAGAATTAGTGTAAATTATATCCAAATTGTATCTATAGAGTGAACTTCAATCGCTTAGTCACCAGAAGTCATAAGGAGTGATAATCTTCAGACACGATTATCTACGCACAACAGTCTATAAAAGCCTCGTTTCAATTTATTATCAATTTCGCAATATTTCTACAAATAAATCGGCCACAAAGCATTGCCCCGCGCGCGGCTGATGTGTGCAAATTCAACCATTAAATACACTTGCCAATTACCTGCCGAGGCCCATTATCTTAAAATTGCCAATGAATCACAATGCTGAGAATGCAGGCAATTCTCATCTTGTGTCTTGTTTTTCGACCACCTCCTAGGAATTGCACAAATTCTCCCGGCAGATAAAACACTCTTTGATTGTGCCAATTTTAGTGTGCTCAACCACGGTCCGCATCAGTCCGCAGCCACCTTTGAAGCTGCAGCCCATTATCACGGTTGATTCATTGAAATCTAATCAAACAGAGTGTGTGTGAGAGAGAGAGACGTTAATGTGAAGTTTGATGAAAATATCACTGGGAGATTTGCAAGACTGGATCTAACTGGTGCTGAATTGGGAATTTTGCTCACTTTTTTCTGCGTAGTCCAACCTGATACAGGCCAATTCATCACGCGGTATCATAAAATGTGTGCAATTCCTCACATGATCGTCACTTGTGCCGGGATTGTGGGTGTTGGAGTGGCAAAGTAGCCCTTGGACGGCGTCGCGAGGGCCCAAAATGGCGACAAGCGCCACAAAGATGCCCAATAGAGCGGCCATTGTGAGACTGGCTGAGCATGAGAGAGCAGTTGAGAGCCCAAGGGGCGTTGGTGTTATCAAATGAGCGCGAGGAGGTTAAACGGTCAAACGCCACATGAGATTATTAGCAGGAATTTATCTGTTTATTGCCTCAATGCTTCGCAGCACTTCGCCATCAGCAGATTTTTCAAGTGGTTTCGTGGAAAAAAGCATTACGATCGACCGAAAAAACTAAAACGGCCGAACTTGAGCATTTTTCACTCTCTTCACCATCAATCTGTAACTATGCGTTGTCTCTCAATCACGTTGATCCAATTAATGTGGAGTCGATTTGAAGAAGGCAATTGACAGTTTTGCAAATTCCAGACTGACATGGACCCATCAAGATGCCGCCTTATCGCACATCATGCAAAATAGAGCAAAATGACAAGGAGCTTTAAACTAAAGTGTCAGAAGAGTCGCGCAAGTTAAAAATTATCAATGCTTACCAACTTATTCATAGCCAGTGATCTAAGCGTCATATTCCACTTGCTTCTTTTTTGCTCTAAAGTTATCGACAATGGATTTTTACAAGAGTTTTCACATAATTTTGAGGGAAAAATAGTTAAAAATCGGCAATCTAAAGACTAATTAATCCATATCAGACTTATTTTCCCCCTAAGATTGTGTTAGAAAAGGAAATTTCATATCGATAAGTGTCGATAAGTCCACTAACTTACCGACACTGCAACGCCAAGTGGAATGACGCCCTAATGAAGTTCTGCTTTTTCTGCAAAATTTGTAAAGACAATTCTCATTTCTATCTTAAATCAGATCTCATTCCGACGCGTCGCGAGATTGCGTGCAAATTGCCATATTTTCAAGCGACGCGCGCCAGAATGAATAAGTTTTTCGCAAGAAAGAAAACATGACGTGGAGAAAATGAAATTCTGAGAATGGAAAAATGATCGGGAGGGAAAAAAAACAAGTCAATCAATGAAATTAGATACAAGAAAAGTCGATGCCTTTGAGCAACAAGTTCAAGATATTTTTAATGCGGTGCCCCCGCCGCCCACATGCCACCCGTGGCGTTTCACTCGATGAGTTATAGGCAAGAAAAAGATGTGTGGTTCTATTTAAAGAGAAAGAGTTACACGCAGACTTGTGCGTTAGCAGCGCAGCTCAGTTGAGACATTTTCACCTGATAAATTTTCTGGTTTTGACACCATGTCAAAAGCATGTGAAGAAATTCTTATTCACAATCTTCACACACTTCGCGAGCGAGATGATTTCTCTGGACATTCGATCATTGATCTGCTCAAGAGTCCTGAGAAACATTGCTCTTAGCTTGTCTGCATCGAACCTTCTTGTCATATTACTTGAGTTACTTCGTTTTTTCTCTCTGATACCGTTGATATAGACTTTGCGCGTGTCGTTTGTGTATCTGGCAATCTTTCATTCATTTCAGAGAGAGTCTTATCTGTACTTTTGGTATCTTTGAAAAAAATCGTCTTATCACCACTGACTCGGAGTCCAAAACAACACTCCTCAGATTAAATTATTTTTACTATTTATAGCCTAGATTCACCTTTTCCACTCAATTCCCTCCTTAACCTCTTCTTGGCGATCTTTCGCCAATTATGCCCACCATTAATGGATGTGAATGTATTTGAAAAATCTCATCAAGTTGACGATCAGCGTGAAAATCCAGCCAAAAGACGCCAGGGCGTTGATAAACACTTGAAAAACACTTCAAGATGACTCCAAAGTGTGGCACCAGCGAAGCCACTCAAGTGAAATCGATTGGTAACAAAGAAGTAAATAAAGTATATGTATATGTAGATGGATGTAATTTAATAAATTAATCACAAAATGGTCACATTAGAGAAACGCTCTAACTTGACATCTAATTTAATCACAGTATTTCCTCATTTCTTTTTTTATTTTTACGAAATCAATCTTCCTCGAAAACATCAGATTGTCTCACAATTCCAGGATCCAGACTTGCAAATAAAGCTTTAGCAAATCAATGGGATCTTTCGAGGATCTCTACAGAAATCTTCAGTACTTCTAGACATGCTGTCTTGAGAAAATATATATATATATATTTTCTGAAACGAGAGTTCAATAAAACCGTACTTTCCCCTCATTTGAGCCTTCCATCCTGGACATATTAGAAAATTTTACACACTTGATTTAGTGTGTGGCGTGTTTAAAACTCGATTTATATTAAAAGTTATAATAGCGACGCGTTGTCTGGTGCTGTTGAGCCTCAAAGCGGCGACATTCTGTCTACCTAAGTCGCTGATGCACCGTTGCCACATCGCGGCATGGCGCTTAGCATTCCAATTTCGCTACGCTGTGAATTTCGTCCGCCAGCGCTTGCGCAGATGTCTCCACATGCCATCCGATGTCCTGGTGTGCATATTCATGAAGGATTAGTGGTGAATGATCGGTTTTTCCGCCACTTCTGCTCTAATTGTGATCACAATCACGGCTCTTGAATTTGGCAACGTCGCGCCCCATACGACAAAACTCGTTTTACAAACGGATGTCAGACCTGAAGGCGGCCACGGTTTGTTCTCCCGTCGACACAAGTCACAATCACCCATCTCGCTCAGACCACCTCCAATTAGATGGCGATGAGTTGGAATTTACTGAAGTGGTCCGGTCACGTACGTTCGTCGCTCGGTGCACTGGTTTAATCCCCACTTTCAGGTTTCCGACACACACTCCACTCGGCGGCGTTGGTGGGAGCGAGACGGGGCGCTGGGCGAGTGAGATGGACGAGCTTGTTTTTTCTTGTGGCGCTGCTGCGTCGTCATTTTTAGATACCACACACTGCCACCCAGCGACACACACCCAGCCTCTTGCGATCTCCCTCGCTCCCACTCGCTCGCCAATTGATCGTGTCATGTGCACACGCACACTGCGCCAGCAGAGGGCGTCGGATGGGCGAGGGCGCGCGGCTCGAGGCACGAGGCAAGAGCCGAGTCGTCTGTTGGTCTCTCGAGAGCCGAAGCGCTAAAAACTTGTCGAGCGTCGAGCAACACGAAAGTTAGTCATAATAGAATGAGGTTCAACTTGATACGGTCGTATTCAGTGTAAAATGATTTTGTGGTGTGGCAAAATCAATTCAAAATCCGTGTGCCTCCATTTCAACAAGTTGAATCAGGATCACAAAACCTGCTCAGTTCGCGAAAAGTGAGTGAATTGCTGAGGACTTTTCAGCATTTTTACGCGATTAGTGGACGATCCAACGAAAGTGCCACTCCGCAAAGTGCTTTTTTTTCATTCTTTCTGCCTCTTCTCAATCGTCCGATAACTTGATTCATACACTGAGAGAGGTTTTTTTTTTCGACGTGCCTTCTTGACTTTTCATTGCGATCGCGTGTGCGAGAGTGAGAGAAAGGATTTTAGATAGACAGAGAAGAGACACCTCGCAATGGCGCACGGTCTATCTCCGCTTATAAAACGTGAAATTGAGTGCAAACCCTCGACGATGCCGTCCAGCGGATCAGGATCCACCTCACCGGCCGCCGCCAAGAGCGTCACACTGAGTGGGGCGACGAAGATGGGCTCACGGCGGATATTCACGCCGCAATTCAAGCTCCAAGTGTTGGACTCGTATCGGAAAGATCACGACTGCAAGGGCAATCAGAGGGCCACGGCAAGAAAGTATGGCATCCATCGGCGGCAGATCCAGAAGTGGCTGCAGTGTGAGTCCAATCTGCGATCGAGCGTTATGCAGGGGGGCGCTGGTGGCGCTAGAGGTGGCAGCGCCACAGCGGTGATTCGCGACTATGCTGAGGCAAGTGTGGTGCCGTCCTTGGATATCAGCAGACACAGCGTCGTCACTCTCGGTTTCTCCAGTTCCACCAGCGTTCCGTATGCGCCTCCCGATGCACACCACGAATCGTCGTCCTCCAGTGTCTCCAATTCGCCCGTGCCCCTCATGGCCCCCGTCACACCCCCGGCCATGTATCCGCCAATGATGCCCTACGCCATGTCAACGTCCTTCCATCGCGAGATGCGACCCGAGGGCCCCATTGATCTGTCGATGGCGCATCGGGCGCGCAACGAGCCGACGGACGCTCGGGTGCCCGCCGTGAAGTGCGAGTGGCGTCAGGAGGAGGCCATACTCCGGACGCACTCCGCCGTCTCCAGTCCGCCACCCGTGGATCTGTCCTGCCGCAACAAGAGGAAGCTCTCCACATGCTGCTCCTCCGGCGCCTCCTGTTCCTCCTCAACGTCCTCCTCGCCGTCGCCCAACGCCGTGACCCCGCCAAAAGTTGTGAAACTCTTCAAGCCATACCTCGATAGCGATGGCGAAGACGAAGCGTCGAGTGCCTGTGATGATGTGGGTGACTTTAAAAAAAGTCCCACGACTACCAATGATCCAATCATCTGGAGTCACCATCCGTGCTCGTCACCGCTGCTCTATGAGAACAACAATGTCTTCGCCTACGACTACAACTTCTACCCGAGCCCACCGTATCACAACATGGCGGCGGCGTGTGCGCCTCCACCAGCGCCATACGGTGACTACATGTACAGCAGCTGGTCACCCGTGGATGGGGCGTACAGCTCGGGCTCCGAGTCCGGCGAGTGGCCGGCGCCGCACCTCGGCGTCCAGCCGTACAACGTGGACTTCAAGCTCAAGGCCATCGAGACCTACTACCCGGATGTGGCCTGTCGCTCAGAGCAGTGCATCCAAGTCCCGCCCAAATACGCCATGAGCCACCACGCGGACAAGTGGCTGAAGCAGGAGCAGTGATTGCCGTCGGCAAGCGCCATAAGCGACAGGAGCAAGATAAGACACTATTTAGGCAGCATCCCTCCCCTCCTCCTCCTCCCTCCTCCCCACCCCAGGCAAATACAGTAACGGTTGGAGAGGTATTTAATGAAAATAGCTTTAATCCCGTAGCATTAAACACTTTTTTGTTCTGTTTCTTCATCTGTCTGAGAAATTAACACCTAGGCTTAGCTATCAAAGTTTTCAGAGCGTTCATCAACAGGGATATTTTTGTTGAAAAAAAAGGGGTTGCAAAATGAGAAGCGATGAGGAAAAATGTGTGATATTTTCCTTCTCTGAAGAAAATGTTAGAAAAAAAAAGAAATCAAAACGCTGTAGATCTGCAATAAGTCAGCCAATAGCCTGATTAACTTGATTTCGCCTATCATCAATGATTCTTTATTCGCAATTTATGGAAATTGATAGGTTGGAATCGATGAAAAAAGTCGAATGTGACGCAACATTTGAGATAAACAATATCAGGCGGTGTGAAAAATGTGGAATTTCCAAGAAAATTCATTGTACAAGGGATCTGTGGACAAAACTTGATAATTCATTGATTTCTAGACTGATATGAGCTTTTAAACCGACCAATAGAAAGTCATTTCTTGATAAAAATGATTTCTTCTCGAGTTCACGGCGCAATTGGCGTTTAATTCACTTGTCGAACCTGCGGAGATGCTTGAAAATTTCGTCTCAAAATTATGTAATTTGAGAATTTGCAAAATTTCAAAGCGACAGGTGAATCGAAAACTATGAAAAGTCAACTATAAATATATTATTTTAGATTTTCAGGTTTTCCATAAAATATTCTTAGATTTTGAATGAATATAATATTTGCAAAATCTTTTATTTTTCAATTGGAAAACTGAGAAATTTATGAGAATTTGAATTTTTTAGAATTCTTTCTTGGTTTTTTTCTTTTTATTTTCCTTTTATCTATTAATTTTTGCCATATTTCAATCAGAATTTGAAAAAATAACAAATTAAGGTAATTTTCTTGAACGATTAGAAGGTGTTTTGAGGTTAAATTGGGCTGATTTCAGAGCTTTTTATATTTTCGATTCGCCGGTCGAAGTCGGCGAGGGAATTTGTATGGTTTCCCAGGAAACCAGATCAAATTTTCCCACACGTCGTGCAGAATAGTCGGCAGGAATTTATCGGTAAAGATGGCTCGCTGTGTGGCGGAGAGTAAATCTTGCACGCACCCTTCCTAGAATCTCCGCTCTCACTTGACAAATCTCACTCTCCTCGGCACTCTCGAGGGGGTCAGAAGGTGAGGCTCGAGAGAGGCGTCGACGAAAATTATGTAAATTCACACAAGTTGAGTCGCATTGCAGAGAGTTTTGAGTCAGTGCGTGTCTGGCGACAAAGAACATTTTTTTCCGAAGGTAACACAGGTGTTTGTCAGTGGCCGAAAAGGGGGAGGGAACGGGAATTGCACGCGGTGTGTGTGCTTAGAATTCTCGGGCCGCCTCGAGAAACTTGTCCTCAAATGCTTTTTGCTGGCTAAAAACAGGTACAAGACAATTTTTCAATTTTATTTCCCGTCCATTTTTGGCCAGGACGACAAACACACAAACACACACATTTCGCCGGGGCGCGCAACAAGTGCTCCCAGGTGTTCATTGGATTTCATCATGTGTTCTGTAAAATGATCTTTTTTCGCGCGGCTTGAATTTGTGTATTTGCATAAAGATGGATTTTCTTGGAACATTTCCAGCCGGGGTTGAATTCAACAAGTTTTTCTGTATATATAATATTATAAATGTGTACAGCCCATAAATGGAACACTTTTTGTAAGGTTGAGAGAATCAAAAGAAAAGAAAAAATGAGAGAAAAAATGTGCCTTTTACTGTAAATTCAAGTGCCAATAATTTTACAACATATTTAAGTCTTTTTTTTTGTCTTCTCTTAAGCAATTATAAGGATTACATTGTATTATTAATAATGTAAGGAAAAGAGAGAAAATGTTAGTTTAGGAACTTTTTTTTTGACAAAACTGTACAATCTATCCAATGTTAAATGTACAACTATTTTTAGAGAAAAAATATTAGTAATTTTCTTGAATATTTTATGCGACAATAGGAATTTTAATGAAAATAAATGATTCGATTGAAAAGTTTTGTATGTTTTCACTCATCAACCAAATCATCTGCAGCATCTTTACTCAGGATTCTATCAAGATCAGAGGCGATATTCGTCATTCCACTCAAGTTGTCACACAAATCCACTGGATTCCGCTGGGAAAATCTGCAAAACACTGTGGAAATCTAAGGTAATTGTCACACTAGGTTGAAATATCGGTAAGTTGACTTATTGATACGAAATTTCCTTTTTAAACACAATTTTAGGGGAAAAACTGGACTGATATAGATTAATAAGGACTAATTAGTCCTTAAATTGTTAATTTTAACTATTTTCTTTCCAAAATTATGTTAAAACTTGGTAAAACAATACTCGATAACTTGTTTGTCGACATTTTACCGATTTAAACCACGTTTTAACACAATTTTGGAGGGAAAATAGTTGCAATCGTTAGTCTGAGGAATAATTAGTTCATATGAGTGATTTTCCCCCTAAAATTGTGTTGAAACAAGGAAATTGCATGCAATTAGCATCAAAATAAGTGTCAATAAATTACCAACTCATGACTCCTTATCGAAATTTCACGAATTTTACTTAAAATCACTAAATTTACACTGATCCTGCACATTAATTCACACAAAACACATAGCCTTGAACATTTTTTCGCAATTTTCCTTCGCCGTTTGGTGGAATTTTGAGAGATTTTGTGAGAAAATTGACTTCTTGTTCCAAAGCGCTTCGCAAAATTTCCCTGTGATCGCTTAACTCTGAGATCAAAGCGCTGATATTGCGTTTTTTTTTCCTGGGAAAACTGATAAAGTGCAGTGAAATATTCGAAGATCGTCACACAAAAGCCCGAGATCTCTTAATCACATCACATTAAGAGGAAAAGCATTGCCAAATTTCATGGAAATCCCTAAGAAATCCAAAATGGAGATGAAAAAATTCCACAATGGAAAGAAAATTGTCGCATTCCGATATTTTCCACTCATTATTCATCCGATCGGTCGCCGTTGTGTCTCATTATTCTACAGATGAAGTCATCGTGATTTTTCCCGCCATTTGCCTTGAGATAAATTGCAATTAATTGCAGCAAAAAGATCTACTTTTTCAGAATGCAGCACAATTGTCCCACTCAATCTTATCATTCTCGCGCAGTTTATTAAACAAAATTCACATTTTAGTAATCCTTAATCGCTAATGAGTTGTGAAAGTGGAAGTAATTCTTATAGAGCTCTCTTGTAGTCAATCTTCTCCAGCTGAACCAGCGGCTTGAGTTGCTCCGCCAAGATTCGCATCTCCTCGCCGATGACATCTTGGCCGCTGGGCGCCAGGATGGACAACTCCACAAGGTAGCTCTGTGAGATGGGATCCGTGGGCTGCAGTCCTCCCACTTTGAAGATCTTCGACACTGTGATCTTCATGCGTCCCTTGCGGAACATGTAGCCGCGATTCGCGTACTCAAAGTCAATCCGACAGCCCAGCTCCGTGAGGAACTCCAGCACGGAGGCGGTGCAGGAGATGTCAATGCTGGACCGGATCAGGGTGGGTCTCGAGCGGTCGCCCACCTCGGGCTGACCAATGTAGCGCAGCTGATATGGAGCGTCGATGTCCTGCGCCTTCCTCACGCGCAATTGCAGCTGCTGATTCTGATTCTGACCGCGCAAACTGAAGCAGATCTCGTGATCGTGAAAGGGCTCCGGCCCGGAATCCACATTGTCGCACAAGCCCTTGAGTCTGTGCAGCAGATGCTCCACCTGACTGTCGAGAATTGAGCCCTGGAGCAGGTATTCCTGATTGGGGATGATGTTGCACTTCAAGGCATGCGACAGACTCTCAACTGTGGTGATTGGGGCGTTCGGCGCGCTCATTTCGTCCACCTGAAAGGATTCTCTGATTAAACAGTCCACAATATTTCACGCATGAAGAGGAAAACACTGTACTTTCCGCGATTTCCCTCAATTTCTCACCACTCTGTTTTCATTCAGCACTTTGACAGCAAACAAAGCGTGCTAATAATTTTCGTGTACTCCGTGGCGCTGCCATCGCTCACACAATTTGCATACCTTTTGGCGCGAAGATGTCAAAGATTCCTTATTGTGGAATAGAGAATAAAGCAATCCATTATTCGAATTTACCCAATAAAAATTCCGATTAGAATCTACAAATTTATTTGAACAATCTGAGTAGCTTTTAAAGGGTGGTTTTTGTTGGGAGATTTTTTGTGAAAATCGATCGTCCGAAACCAAGTTCTCGTTCCATCTTAAAGGCTTCCAATTGCAATTTATACGCTCGCAACTCTTCATTTTTGATCTGCAGCACAAGTTTCTTCCTCTCAAGCAGTATATTCGGTTCTAAGGAGGCAAATTTCATCTTCCTCGAACTCGTCGTTGGCACAGGAATCTCTTTAGTCTCCTCACACGCACTTCCACCGGTTTTATTGCTCTTGAAGCCCATTTTGAGGATCTTCAGTGGCGGTTCGATGCTCGTGCTTGAGTTTCCAGACGCGTCCATTTGTGAGTGCAGCTGTTCTAGACTCGTGTCATCCTGACTGTGCTGCTCCAGAACCACTTCCTTGTTTGGATGATCAAGAATCACTTCATACATGATGTTTTCACTCTTGTTCTCCTCCGACTCCTCATAATCCACTTCATTTGGTTCCTGTTCCTCCTCGGCTTCTTCAATGTCGCTCGATTGGTCAATCAAAATGCCTGGAAATTGAAGAAAAACAGAGATGATTGAATTAAAAATGTGTTTCTTTTCTTTGCCGTTTCACGAAGTTTTCAAACATTTTAGCGATCTTCATGGGAATCTGCAGATTCACGAGGCAAAATCATCCCAATATGACAACCCCAAAAAATCACATTGTCATTGCATGTTTTGTAAGAAAGTGTTTTGCTCAAAAAGTGTGTCTTCCTAACGAGTCATTCAACCCCAGGCAGTTCCTTAAAGGTCCTCAAGATGTCTGAAATTCGCCTTCACGCGTCAATTTCGAATGCTACCGTGAGACAGTGGGCAGAAAGTGGGACGGAAATCAGTCCGGCAAATCTCATGTACCCGGTTTTTGTGGTGTAAGTTGTCGGCAAGTCTCTCTATTTGTTTGGCAGTCAGACTATTTGTGCACTTTTCAGGGAGAACGATGATGCTGTGGAGGAAATTCCCAGCATGCCGGGCGTCAAGAGATACGGAGCTTCTGTCCTGATGGAGGTTTTGGCGCCACTCGTTGCGAAGGGTCTGAAATCCATTCTCATCTTTGGCGTTGTTGAGCAATTGCCCAAAGATTCGACTGGATCCTCGGCGGATTGTGGTGAGAATCCCGTCATTCGTGTCTTGCCCAAAATCCGATCCACCTTCCCGAATCTCCTGGTGGCTTGCGACGTGTGCCTGTGTCCTTACACTGACCACGGACACTGCGGAATACTGCGCGCCGACGGCTCGGTGGACAACGATCCCAGCGTCCGGCGCCTGGCGGAGATCGCCTTGGCGTACGCGAAGGCGGGAGCGCAAGTTGTGGCGCCGTCAGACATGATGGACAATCGCATTAAGGCCATCAAGGACGCGCTGAAGAGCCACGGACTGCAGGAGACGGTGTCTGTGCTCTCGTACGCCGTGAAATTCGCATCCGGATTCTACGGGCCTTTCCGCGATGCCGCCAAATCGGCGCCGGCTTTTGGCGATCGCAGCTGCTATCAGCTGCCGCCGGGATCCAGGCGATTAGCCGCCAGGGCGGCGGCTCGGGATGTCGCCGAGGGGGCGGATATGCTGATGGTGAAGCCGGGACTGGCCTACTTGGATCTCCTGCGCGACACCAAGAACCAATTCCCCAATCATCCCCTATTCGTCTACCAAGTGAGCGGCGAGTATGCAATGCTGCACTGGGCGGCGGAGCATGGAGCCCTGGATCTGCGCAGGGCGCTGTTCGAGGTGCTCAAGTCATTCCGGCGGTCCGGAGCTGATGTTATCATCACATATTTCACGCCACTCATTCTAAATGAGCTGCAAGCTGGAGAAAATTGATAGTTTAAGAAGTTCTTACCTTCATTCGGTGTATTTCTCAAGTGCTTCCTGGTCATGGCATGCTTGGAGAGGTCAATAAATCGTGGGCACAGTCGAATGTTGCAGTACAGACAGCGCGCCTCCCGGACGCCGTCCGGAGTGTAGCAATCTCTGAGCCAGTCTTTCAGCAGAGGATTTTGCAGCCAAGCATCTCGGAATCTCTGCTCGTAGCGCTTCTGGGTTCTCTTGGGCGCGAGGTATTGCTCATCAGACATTGTTCAGTTAGACGTTGCAGGTAAAATCTCCCGCTTTTTCCAAGGAATCTCGAGAAAATGCACAAATGTTGTTCACTCTAAAAATCTCAGCTTCAAAATGTCACTAGACTGCAGATGTCAACAAAGTGTTGCCCACAGAGTGCATTGTGGCGCCATCTGAGTTCAGGTGCTCGCGAATATCTGTTCAAAAATGCATGGATTTTTTTTCAAGCGGTTCAAACTGTGTGAATTATAATGAATTTCATAAAGAAAACAATAAAAAACAGACATTTTTCATTGATAAATTCTAGAATTTTTATTTCTCTCTCATCTGTAATTACATTTTTTTCTCCTTGAAGTTCATAATCATAAAACTAGGTAACATTTTTCCGTTTATTTCTCTTATTCATCTTTTATATATTCAATTCTCTTACAATATGTATACCTAAAATATTACCTAAAATATTTTTCTTTTAAATAAGTTCCTCTTTCTTATCTGCATCGGTTTTCACACATTATCAAATATTTCAATGACGTTTTTTCTTTCTTCTTTTTATAAAACAAAAATTCACCTAGAAAAGACAGTTGGTTTAAAATTAAAAAATAATATATTCTTTTTTTTTGTTTTGGTGGTCGAAGGAGGGGGAAAAGCCAAAAAATAACATGGTCTTCGCGAAGTTAATCAGAAAGAAAATAATTACTTAAACTTGTATCTTCCCTATAATAATTATTTTGTTCAAAAATTCAAGTCAATATTTAATGGTAATACAAAAGAGACAAAATTCTTTGCGAGAAGAACGCAGCCTTACAATAAAAAGAGATTAATAATAAGTAAATATAGTTATTGGTTTGTAAAAACACAGTGGAAAATTCTTTAAAAATTATTTTTAATTAAAATACAATAAAAGTTAATTAGGTAAAAAAAGAGACAAAAAGAACTAATTAAAATGCAATAAAATTATTCCCTCACGTTTTATACTCGTCTTGCGCTTAAATTAGTTATTATAGAAAATGTTTTTTTTTAGTACATTTTTTCACAGTATAATTTATGACAAAAAAATTATACTTTTGCAGTTTTAGAGTTTTTTCTTCTTAGAAATAAGTTTTTTTTTTGTTTTTTAATATGAAAAATCGGCAGTTTTTAGCTAGTCTTGTCAAGTATTGTGTATAATTTACAATTTCCTTGTTGATTTAACTATCCAAATATTCTTTTATCATACGAATTATGTACAAAAACTAATATATATATATATATATATTGAACTAAAACAAAGCAGCTTTAAGTTAATTTTTCTTGCGTTTTCATTCTTTTTTGTTTTACACGTAAAAAAAACAAACATATCTTAAGTAGGTTTTAATTATATATATAAAAAAAACATAAAACAAAGAAGAATTCTTTAAATTTTTGGTTAGGAAAAGCTTCTCAAAAACACAAAAAATCCTACATTATATAAATTCAATTTGGTTTAATTAATATTTGCTAAAGAAAAAAATGCTTCAATACAACACAAAAATACAAATACATGAAAATTAGAAAATTTCTTAGCAATTTCAATTGTTTGAATGTGGGCCAGATTGAATTCTTTTCTTTTTTTCTTCTATAATGTGTTTTGATAGCAAAATGAACAAAAAATAAATGTCGGGAAGGAGAGAAACGAGATCATTATTGGTGTAAATGTAATACATTTAGTTTAGAGATAATTATGTAGCGTTCTTTGTTACTTTGCATTGAAATATTTCTATTTCACAAAACTTTTCTTCCATATATTTTTTTGTCTGGAAAAGATGTCGATTTTCTTTTGGGGCAAATAAAATTTTTTCATTCAAAATTAGTTTACACAGAAATTTTTTCTCCAATAAAACTTTTCATGCTAATTCTAAGAGCACCATATTTGTTTTTTTTTTCTTCTTCTTTAATATATACATGTATATATTTTTTACACATTTTAAATTACATATTTTTCTTCAGAATAATATTCTGTTTTTTGTATCAGTTTTAGATATTTCTTAGAGCAATGACAAAGAAAAGCCTTTTATTAGGGTTTAATTCGCATCTCTTGAATGGAAAATGATTGACAGGAAATTTGACAAAATGCTTCTTTGAAAACCGTTTTTTTTTAAATTACTTCAAGCGTAAATTTTCTTTGTCAGCTTAGATGAAATACAGTGTTTTGCTTTATTTATTTAGTTCCATTGCATTCTTCGTTAAATAATGACTGATATTTTGTGTGGGGAAAAGGCAGATTTAGAAACAGAAAAAAGGCAATGTTTTTTGCAAAAAAGCCGTCTTCAGTCTATTCATTGAAAAATAAGCTTCAGAATTTTCTCACAATTTGTCTTGATAAATATTTAATTGGATATTTTCTTTTAGCTTTATTTTATTCATTAATAATTAGGTGATTAGAATTGTTTGTGTTCTCTTCTTGGATGTGATTTTTTTTTGTGGAATATTTAATGAGCATGTTTTTTTTTAATAATATTTAGTAATTATTCTTGTTCGAGGATGTGCTTCATTTTGCTAAATGCTTCCTTTAATATTATTACTTGTTTTTCTTTTCTTTCTTCTCTCTTCTTCGTTATTTTACTTAAAATTGGGGGACAATTAATAATAAATTGTGTATACATAGACTCTGGCAGCATAAATTTTTCCTTACTTTCCTTTTTTTAATGTGTCTTCAGTGGTGAGTTTAATAAAATTACTCAGCTTTCATTTATTTGGTGTGCAATTTCAAATGGCAGTTTTTGTTCTTTTTCGACTTTTTTTTCTATCTCTTTTTACAATAACTTGTTTTTTTCTTTTTTACTTGGGTAACTCTGGTTTTTTCTTCTCTTTATTCTTAAGTGTTGGTTTCACTGGTAACGATAATTCTTCTTCTTCTGCTTTCTTTTCTATACATTCATTTTGCGTTTAAATCTGTCGGTGTTTTTTTGTTCTCTATATTTTGCGTGTTTCTTTTTCTCATCTTTTATCACTTAGAGAGTAAAAATATTCTACAAAAAAAAATTTTTATACACAAGCGATATTATATATATAAAAAAAGGGGTGCGAATAGAAAACATTTGAACAATCTTTGTTTTCTATTTGCAAAAATGACTCAATAATATAAAATTATTTCTCAAAATGTGGTTGATTGATTTCTCAAAAAGAATCCGTTACATTCAGTGGAGTATTTAATGGAATTTAATTAGTTTGTTTAGGGTTTTTTTTCTTCTTATTCTTCTTCATTTTGAAGTTGTGAAACATGCAAATTTGTGAGCGAAAATAACAAAACATATATTTGTTATGTTGTATATTTTTTTTTTTGTAGTTGAAAATATTTTAAATTCCACTTAGATGCTCAGTTTGTTTTTTTTTTAGGATGATTCTTGAATAAAAACATAGGCCAGTTCGCGCGCGACTTTAATATATGTACTGTAATGTCTCTTCACTAACACTTTTTCTTTTTTACTACACGTAATAAAACTTAGAATTTCTCCTTTTACACTCTTACTACGGTACTTAATATATTTAGTTCAGTTTTTTTCTTTACTCTTCTATTTTTTTTTCTTCTTTTCTTTCCATTATTTAGTTTTTTAATTGTTAATTGAAGGCATTGTTTCAGACTTCCTAGTGTGTATAAAATGTGTGTCTTATTTCTTCTTCTTCATCTTCTTCTCTTCTCTTCAACAAAAACTTTGCATCCCAAAACTGACTTTGGATGCTTCTTCGTCCTCTCCTCACACTTTTTCCGTTTTTTGCACCGGGAAAACACCGCTCATCGCTGACCTGTGGTGGATGTTCAGGGGTTGAATTCCTTTTTGATCTCCTTGCTTGCAAATTTGTCAGGTAGCAGAGTATTGATAACAAGAACAGCGGTCGTCACTGTCGCGGGCTTCGATTGCTTGATCACACCGCGCTGCGGTGTCTGCTGAATGACTGTCCGGATGGCTGATTCCGAATTCCTCTGGCCGTGCGAACTGCTGGTTGCTACAGGTGAGACAGTTTTCGGGGGCTGGTGAGAGGAAACACTTGGTGGGCTCGTCACAATATCGTCTTTGTCCGGTTCCATAAGGCCCCGCTCAATCATCTGCTACCTTTTATTTAAGATCAGAGAATCAGAGATTGTCAGTTTGGACTCTTCGGCGGAGATTGCTTTGCGAATACTTGCCTAATGCTCGCTGAGTTGAGTACAAATGGTACGTAGAACATCTTACTCTCCAGCAGTAAACTGGCAGCTGCTTGTATCTGCAATGATCATCCTCAATTAGTCTGAATCTGTCTAATTTCAAGCCTTTTTTGGCACATAAATGTGAAAAAAGATTTCCAAAAACGTATTTCAAATGTAATCTTTTCGTGAATGTTATAACGACTAGAATTAAGAATATTTCAGCTAAATATTCTATCTTTATGTCGACTTAAATTAAACATTTTTCCACCATTTTTAGATCATAAAACCAAGTCGATTTTGGAGTGAAAACATATTAAGAAGAGATTATTATAAGCTTTTGGAGAAACTTGTTTTTCATTCCGTCCAAACTAGAAAGAAGATGTTTTTTCAATCGCTTCAAGAACAAAATATTGCATTTACTTTGTAATAAACTGCTTTTTATCTGCAAATATCTTTAATTCTAGTATCTTTGAATGCAAATAACGTCTTGAAACAAGTCAAAAATAGGCTTAACTTTAGTCCGAGACTCAATTTTAGTCCACTTTCAAGCTGAATAGACTTGATTTAAGTCTTTTCCGTTATAAAATCAAGACGAAAATCTTCATTTATCGGTTTTCATCCCAAAATATTCTTGGATAAACGCCCAAATATTCCCTCAGCATACCTCAGGTATATGAGCTAACAGGTCCCCAAGTCTTCCAGGATTGTGTGGCGATGAATTCTGGAGGAAGCTCCGCAGAACTTGGACGTATCGCTCCTGGATGCTCTCCAATTCAACTTCTGCAAAGGCAAAAAGTTTTTGGTAATGAGTTTCGCAAGTTTCCAACATGACTTTCAGGATGTGTTTGAATATATTTACCTCTGTTCAAGAGGATGTAGACCTTCAGGCACACATACTCCTCCATCTTGAGCTTAATGCGGCGAAACATTATCGTGATCTGCGTCATTTTCTCCACCATGTGACCCACGTCGGCACGCAGTTGCTCCATCGAGATGGGCTGTCCCATGAGCGTGGTGAGGCAGGTTTGCAGCGTGCACAGGTGCTTTGTGACCTCCTGCACGAACTCCGGGTCATTCTTCTCCGGCGTGATGGGCCGCGACGTGGGCGAGGAGCTCTGCTGCGTCGGCGTGCTCGCATTGCTGCCAGGAGGTGATTTCTTGCCGTGCAGCGCCTGGTAGGCCGCCGTCGTGAGCACCAGCAGCTCGTGCCACTTGTCCGTGAGGAGCTTCGTGTGAATCTCCACGGGTATCTCGAGGTAGAAGGGCAGCTTTTTCGTCCACGACACGAGCTTGTGCACAATGGAGTCGCCAATGTTGCACAGCTTGTCGCCAATTTCGGACTTGTCCTCCAGGAATTCGGGGAAGTGCGGCAGCGTGGCGATGTCCTCCATCTCGTCGCACTCGATGAGGGTTTGGATCATGCAGAGGGAGTGCTCGTAGGACACACTGCGATCCTTGGACGATGACACGGCGTTGTCGAGCCGGTGGCGCAGGTGCACGATTTCGCTGGGATTCGTGAGGGCTGTCTTGAGGATGGTGCCATTCACGAGGTGGGAGGGCAGGTTGATCCCTTCGGCTGGCTTCAGAGACGTCTGCACTGGCGCTAGGAACATCGACTTCGTGTCCTGCACATCCGTGGACACCGTGAGCTTCGCCTGCTGCACCTGCTGCGCCTGTTGCACCTGCTGTGACGCCTGCGTGGCGGGCTTCTGGGCGGACTTCTTGTGCTTCTTGTACTTCACCTTGTACAGATTGTACACGGCGCCACTGTTGCGGCCGCCCGGCATCCGATCCTCGCGCACAGCCTGCAGCACCATTCCCTGCTCGATGCACTTCTTGAACCTGCAGTACTGGCATCGGTTGCGCTGCGCCTTCGTGATCTCACACGTGCCGTCAGCCACGCACGTGTACACGCGACGATTCTGCACGGTTCTCTTGAAGAAGCCCTTGCAGCCCTCGCACGTGATGATCCCGTAGTGCAGTCCTGTGGCTTTGTCCTCGCAGATCATGCACACCAAGGGTTGGTCGTCATCGTCGGCGGGCGCTTCTTGGTGGTGTGTCGGATCCGTCTGCAAGTAAATGAGAAGCAGTGAGACATCACACACTCCTTGACTGCATATCGAAGCATTGGAAAGTTTAATCTAATCCTTGAGGAATAGTTTTATCTTGTTGACGATGAGTGGTTAAAAAATTCACAACGCATTATTAATATTGACTGTGTTATTTACACGAGTAAGACTTGATTTCAATCGCATAACAGTTTTTTTTTCTCAGAAGACTCGCACTTTCATTGACCACTCGATACATAATTCGTCACATTATCGCACATACACATGTATTTAGTGTGCATCAAGGGGGAGATAATACGGCCAGACAGTGTACATCACTTCTTAATACTTCCACAATTTCTGTGCAGAATCACAGACACTTCCATAACTTTGGCAGTGCTTAAAACATGCGTTTTTCTTTTATTCGTAACTCTATAAATTTTTCCAACTGCCTAAAATATCATAACCTCAAATTTAATTTGCAATTATCTTAAAAAGACTCAGTTTTTACTTGTATGACTCTGAAAAAAACTGACAGAGAAACAGTATTTGAGTGCATAAAATGGTGTTTCTCTGTGTTATTTAGTCACTAAAATGTGCTTAAAGTTAGATACATAACCTAGATAAGCAATGAGAATTTTTATTGAAGAAAAATTAAGAAAATAATGTAAAAATTCTCAAAGTATTGCGGTAATTAAGCTTGAAAGTAGTTCTTAAACGCCTAATATTGCAATTATTCAAGCACTTCCACTTCTCAACACTTCTGTTGAGCTGTACACCACTTTTGACCATAATATCTCCTCCTTGGCATACATATTACACGCAATCCCTATTTGCACTTCGGCTACTCTTCTGTTAATCATCAATTGATTATGTTATCGTCGCAACAAAGTCTTCAAGTTTCTCTGTCGCCGCCTATTTGGCAAATTTAACGCTCGACACTGACTTGAGCTTGAGTGTGTTGCGAGAAGTCTGCACTCACCTTGTTGGTGGCCAAATGGAGGCCTCCGGGTGTCCACTGGGGTTGCGATAGGTTGAGCGCGTGCAACTGCTGGCCGGCGGGCAGTTGGCTGTAGTCGCCGGCCCACAGCCGCTCCATGTTGAGTGGGTGGTTCGATCGCGGCGGCGGCGGCGCGCGCGGCCGGATGTCGCCCACCCGTGACGCCGCTGCCTGGCCCAGATTGAGCAGCAACTGGGCCGCCTCCTCGTTATTCTGCGCCGCCGCGCCGGGCGGCGTGTTCACGCTCGTGGGACTGATGGTGGTGGCGGACGTTGGCGGGAGTTGCGTGACCGCGGCGGGCTCGAAGCCCCACACCATTGTCCGCACGCCACACGATTCACCCATGATCACAGTTGGAGTGGCGCGCGGCGGTGGCGTCTGCATGGCGATGGTGGCACTCTGCGTGGGATTCACCTGCGGCGCATTCTGCGTCGGCGGCTGCACCACGCCGAGGGCCTGCGGCCGCAGACCCGGCAGCGGCCCGCCTATGATTTCGGGCTTCACGCCGTTGATGCGCGTGTTCGCGCCCCAGATCATGCGGTGCTGGCCGCCGGCCGTCTGCACCAGTCCCGGCAGATTCACCTCGTTCTTCACACGCAGCAGAATGGCGGCGTCGCGAATGGGGTGGCGCAGCTGCAGGGGCGAGTGCGGCGTCATCTGCAGCGTCGCCCTTTGCTGGCTGCCCGACTGGCTGGGCGACACCGAGGCGGCCACGGCCGCCTGATTGACGATCGTGTGACTGGGCGATCGCTCGCGCTTTATCCGCACGGGCTGCGCCTGGGAGATTTGAATGGGGATCTGCAGCTGCGTGACCGACGTGGGCTGCGTCTCGGCGCGGTGGCTGATCTGCTGGGGCGACGTGGACGCGATGGCGTGGTGCAGCATCTGCAGCTGCTGCTGGTGAGCCGACGTGGTCTGGATCATGACGGGTGTGTAGGAGGCGCCGCTCGACGTCGCGGGCACGTCGCGCTGGTGGTTGATGGCGGTCGTGGCGATGGGGAAGGTGCCCACCATTGTGGCCGCCGTGGCGGCCGGGGAGGTCTTCCTCACCAGCGTCGCGTGGTGATTCTCCGTCTTGATGCGGGACGGCGTCACGAGCACCGTGACGTGCTGCTGCGGCGTCGACGTGGGCGGTTTGGGTCTGTCGGCGGGCGGCGGCGGCGACAGGCGCTCAGTCTTCACGGACCGTATCACGCTCGGCGTGGAGCCGCTGCTCGACGCCGCCACGATGGTCGACGACGTGGCCACTTGGCTCTCCTCCGCCACCACCGAGTCCGGACTCGAGCGCGTCATGGCGCCGGCGTCGCTGGATTCGGCGGCGCCCGTGGGTGTGCTGCTGCTGGGCGCCGCCTCGCTGGTCGGGGGGGTCGGGGTGCTGGGGGCCGAGGTCGGAGCCGCCGCTGGCGCCGGCGTCGCGGTATTATCACACATCTTAGGCGAGATTGGCGCTAGCAAGTCAGGCGATGACGTGCTCGTGTCCGCTATTGATTCACCGTCACTACTGCATCTGGAATCGACTTTTCTCCTTTTCAATTTGAGGTCCTGAAAGAGGCTCATTTTATCGAGCTCACTGTACGGGCCACGGCTCAGTGTCATAATTCCTGTGCGGCGGCGGGAAGAAAAAGAGAGAGAAAAGCGGTTACAATTTAAATTTAGAATCCTTATCAGGGGAAAATGGCTCTTCTTGCCCGCGCGGAGTGGGGAGATATGAGCTTTTGTGCATGGGATCTGCTCAAGTACAAGCTATTGGCGAAGTGCAAACAACAGAACATGACAAGACATCAGCCAAGATCCGACCTTCAACTCTCTCAATTCAATCTCATGTGTGAGTTATTCTGTATGGTGAGAAAACTCCAACGAGAACTTGACTCGTTAGCGGGAAATTCATGCAATGAAAATCCGCGATCACGTGTGGAAAATATCGCGAGAATGAGAGAAAAGCCGGAAATTCCTCGAACCGAAATGGTCAATCGTGTTTGTTGTGTTAGAAAAGAGGCACAAAACGTGAAAATGAAACTTACACTATGTACAGTTACTTTTATTATGGTTCCATTCGACTTCCACATGAATAAATAATAGTATTCTGAACAAAACTTCACTGAAAATCACGCAAATTTTCCATAACATTTTTCGCTTATGTTGAATTTTGCACAAAATTCTTGTTTCGGTATCTCAACCGATGTACATATAGTTGAAACCGTTTGGGGAGAAAACAGAGTGGAAAACGGTGCAAATACTGACCTACCTCAAGTAGAATTCAATGCGCTTTATAAATAAAGTGTCTCACTCTCTGTTTTCCTTCTTTCACATTTTTGCGCCATTCTCACTCTCTCTCGCTCACAAAGTTCTACATTCAATACATATTCTTTCATGTGTCACACACAGTCACGGAAAAATATTTGTGAATCATAATAGATTTTCTGCTTAATTTTCTGTGTCACTCATGAGAGTTCACTTAACGAGAGAACCATCGGCGAGAGGAGCGATCAGGAAGTTCTTCTCTGGCTCACAAGTGAGCCGACGAGAGATGGGTTTATTGATGACAATTTGCACGCTTCAAGCGTAATCAATATCGACGATTTATTCGAAAACTATTAAAAATTGACAGTTTTCAGAGGAGTAAATTGAAAATTTATCGTTAATTCACCTCAAACACCTTCGAATCTGTCATTAAAATGGTAAAATTTCTCTGTAATAATTATTTTCTGAATTTGTTAGTTAATTTTATTGGTATTTATTGGAATATTTTTTACTCAAATATGTCAAATTTAATAGAAAAACCGAAAATTTCAGTGTTCATAAGTTGATTTTTACATTTTCCACAATTTCTATATATTTTTTAAAGGATTTAAATAGAAGAAATTAATTTAATTGAAAGTCAATGAATATTTTTTAAAAAAAACCGAGAAACTAAACTTAAATATCGATTTTTTAATGTAAACTTTAAAACGCCGAGTTTCCATAGTTTACGGCGAAAGACATGAAATTTTTCTACAATTTTGATTTAGATAAATCTTATTTTCTACCTTTGCTTCGCAACAAGAAAAATTCATAGGACGAAAACTAGTTTTCCTCCATATAAAACTGATAAGATCCGTTCATCCCTTCGATCAACACGTAAACTCTTTTTCTTCCATTCTATCAATATTTCTTCTAATCTATCTTGTCTATTTCTCTCGCCTCCATTGTCTCGATGCTTTTTAATTGATCTCTCAAGTACAAAACCATATTTCTCGTGAAGAGTGCATAAAGCAAATGACTTGTGTTATTTGCTTGCTTGTCTGCTTTGTGTTCCTCAAGGTGGAAGCTCTTGTATCTTTTGCATGAGACACACACACGCGGTGTGAATGTTTTGCATTGCGAAAGGGCTCTATTTGGAGGTCATTGCATCCGATCCCCTTTGGCGAGGATCGACGCAGGGTGGTGAGATTTGTGGGTTACCTAGAGATGTCATTGTAGGCGCTTCGCGTCTCGACGGCGATGTATGGCGCTTGGACGTGGTGACGGGCGCTGCTTGATGCGGGGGAGGCTCCAGATCCGCGTTCCCCCCTCCGTTTTCGCGTACAATTGTGAATGAATTCAGCTTGTCAATTCACAGAAAAAATGGCAAATATATCGGCCAAAATATTCAACACTCACACAAACACACACACACACTCTTCTTCGCGTCTTGTCTCTTCAATATCACTTGATGATTAATCCACTTGCCATTTCCTTAGCATTTCTCTCGCGTAGCATCTTGATTCCACTCCTGTGCGTGTGTCATGTGTGAAAACACTAAGCCAGGCAAAATGGCGAGTTCTTTGGTCGTGGAGGTCAATGTTGCAAATCCCCATGCGGAAATTCGGAGATTGTTTCACTGAAGTGATTTCTCATTGACATTCTCGGTCTCTTCCTCCTTCGCGCGCAGCGGCTCTAGTGACACAGCGCCGATCTAATCACTGTGCTGATCTCCTCGCCCTGCATCAATAATCCGCGGTGTGTGTCTTGCTCAGGATGGCGAAATGCGATGTGTAAATTCGTGAATTGCCCTTTCATATCGTCTCAGTGTCCACGTCTTCAGTCTTTTGTGATCACTCAAAATCACTTTCACATGCACATTATCTCTCTCAGTCTTACTCTCCCGCTTCTTCTCGTCTCTCTTGCGCTTCACTTGTGGGGATCGCGAGGAAGAGAGATGCCTCAGATTGTGTGTGATATTTTGCTGCCCAGGGCAGTGGATCTGCTAGTTGTAAAAGTTTCACGACTTTGAAGAATCAGTTTATATCCATTTTGGTGTGTATTTTGCGTGTACAACTCGTGCTGGCTTTCTGCATAATGAATTTCCCGAATTTCAAGGTGGTTGTGTTTCTCACTCTCTCACACTTCTTAATGACTTTTCAATGTAAAGTTCAATGGTAAAACTGCGTCTAATTTAAAAATTGCCACCCAAAAAATATTTCACACATCCAACATGTGCCTAATTTCCTAGCTTCACATGTTTTTCCCTTCCTGGATTGTCTCTTTGCAGTTTCACTTTGTCTTTTTTGCAGTAAATGTGGTGGAAAGCGTCACAGAAATATTAACATGATTTAACAGGGATGATTTCTGGCTAAAAACACCTTTTCAGTTCACTGGAGGAACACTCCAGGGGATTGAATTGCAACTGCACTGAGTCCTGTTGACTGCGCCGCCACCAAACACTAAAGGGATAAGGAGTGACGTGAACGGAGTCGCGTGAAGAGCACTTTGACCTCCTTCATGATGTGTGTTGGAGCTGAAGCGCGGGATGATTGCTCAGAGTGCGTTCGAGGGAATGCACAGTAAAACTTCCAAATCATAAATTCACTGAAATGTTTCCCCATAAATCACTGATTTTTTTTTTATTTTACTTAATCCACTTGCGGTGGTAATCCTGATTCCTTTTTTTTCTCTTCTTCTTCTTTTAATCACACGTGAAGGAAGTGCGCCCGGGCACTTCGCAAGTTAGAATTTCACCGTGTCGGTTTAACGACTTATTTTTGAGGAGGCAAAGTTGTGATGATTTTTCGTTAACACACAAGTGCGAATCGGAACAAAGTAGGTTACCGACTGAATGTCTTCCAACCGGAGGGCCGAATGAAAACGAAAAGTCGGCGTTTGGCGCGCACACGGCGGAGCTCCATCTCTCTTACTCTCGCACACACAATGTGGCGCTGAATTAATAGGGGGAGAGACGATTGTGGAGGAATTTCAGTGAGTGCAAATGAAATAGTCGTTCAATTTTGCACTGTTGTGCAGTGAGAGTGACTGAGAGGCGGCGAGAGGAGTGGGATTTGGAGAGAGAAGAAGAAGAAGAAGAAGAAAAATCCGCTGGTGAATTTGTTTGATTTTCCCATTGAAGAGAAAAAAATGAGAGCTGACCTATGAATAGGATTTTCCACACAAGGAGGATTCTTCGTCAAATTTCATCGTCAAGTGCGAATGTTCAAATTGAAAGACGCGCGCCACGCACAAAAGTGCATTTTTGTCTGGTAAATTTATGACACAGCATAAATTTGGTTGACTTTTCCTCGGGAATTTCCCAACCCCAGCACAACTGGGGAGGCAAAAGCAAGAGCGCTTTTTCAACGTGGAGAATTTACTTGTGAACTCTCCGCTTGCCTTCTGCTCAATCCGAGTCATCGGCTCTGTCGTTTTCTGTTCGTTTCGAGCTGACCCAGAAACGATTTCTACACACAAAACTGAATGCTAAAATGCTCCCTTGACTCCCCGCGTCACCCACCATGTGTGCACATCAATTGCAGTCACGAGAGAACGAGAGGGCAGCTATTGGCAGTGCTGGGAAAGGCCCAAGGAGGTCCTCCTTTGGAGCGCACAATCGCCTAGCTCCTCAGCTTTGGCAGAGTAAGAAAAGAGTTCATGCTTTGCCCTGAGAAAGTCACAAGAATGAAATCTCGGATGAACAGAGGAGAATCTACGTGAAAAAGTCATGGAGTCTGTGTTTTCCGCATCGTGAAAATAAAATCGAGATCGAGTTGAGATTGAAAGTAAAAGTTTCACGTCTGTGAGGCTGCCTTTTTTGCCTTTGCCTGTGTGATGTGAATAATAAAGTAATAAATGATGGAAGAAAGAAAGTTCAGAGAGGCGGAAGAAACAGTCCAATACATTACGTAAAGAGACAACAAAGTCAACGAGAGTGACATGAAAGAAATTTTTGCGATCGCGATCTTGTGATCACCTCGCTTGGCTCATCATCATTGGCGCTCCTGTGGTGGCAAAACACTCGGAGAAGATGAAGAAGACGAATATTGGGCAAAAAGTGTGAGAAACAAGAAGAAGTTGTGTGTAAGAAAAAAAAACAATAGCGTAACAAACGATCGAGACTTTGAAAGCGAAAGTTCAAATAAGAGACGAAGAAATGCGAATTGAGCTTTCGTAATCACCATCACGTTTCATGCTGATGACGATGGAGTTTGTGATCGTGCCATTAGAGTTTTCTATTAATACAACTAACACAGTGAGACAGAGATCTCCTGACCTCCCCCCGTCGCCCTCCCACGAATTGCAGCGAAGACGAAGCTAGACTTGAACATACACACGAGTTTCTCACATTGCAAAACATGCACGAATGAGCGAGACGCGCTCTATACGGAAGAGAGAAGGTGAATTTTTTTTTATATAGGAGAGCATAATGTTAGAGTTGCACGGTATTCACTTCAACTGTGAAACCGTTAACATGACACGGAATGAGGAAATGAAAATTCTAATGACTATAAATCTACCTACGATCGAAGCTCCTTTGCTTCAAGCGCTGCTTTTCACTCTCTCTCTACACATATTATGCACCGTAAGACCTTCAAAGAGTCAGGGATTTTCACATATTCTCCCATGATCCCATCCCTCAGTGGCATTTGCCATCTTCTCACTGGAAAGAAAAAAATCCACTGAAGAGTAAATGATCGCTGTGGAGAAAAACTTTCCAAAGTTCTGCAGTGGAGGCGCCTGGTACCAGGCGTTATCTTCACTTCTACGCATATATTTCGAGTCATTTGAGCCTCTTCACCACATCTTCTCGTCAAGAATGCTTCCAATCTGAGTGGATTGTGTGAAGTTTATGGTGAGCACAGTAAGGCTTCGGTGGAGAGAAAATAAAAGAAAAGACAAAATAAAAAGCATAAAAATCGAGGCCATCACTTGTTGACCATGATAATAACCTATAGAATGTGTTTGTGCCTTCAAGTTTGCTGGCAAAATTGTATATGAGGAATATAGCTGTTTTTTCTTCAAGCCAAATCAACATTTTATTGAACTTCCGTATGTCCGTTAAACCGTTACTTCCTGCTTTTCCAAACGCCACGAGACAATCCGTTGTACAAAAGTGCAAAATGTGTGAAAGCTCGTGAGGGGAGAAACGTGATTTTGAGGCTTGAGTGGAGAACTCTCTCAAATGCCCTGTGTTGATGATTATGTAAGATGGGAGCAGGAAAAATGCATCACAGTGCCATACAACTGTTTCTCCTCTGTGTGACGCCTCCTTAAGTATACACGTTACGGGAAAAAAAGCATGGGCAAAAGCCGACGAGTCGAGCGATAAAATGGGAGGGAATAGTTAACAAAATGTCGAGAGATGTGTGAAGATTGTATTAATGATGTGAAAGTTTCCACTATGAGAATTCACAGTCGCGTGAATTGTCGTTAAAAGTAAAAGTGACGAATTGAAATCCATTTGCATGAAGTTTACCAAACACTGACTTGACGGGGGAAAAAAGTGCGAAAAGCAAAGTATTTCCACTTGTGGGGGCGGCTTTTAGTCTCTTTTTATTATTATTAAATTTCCTAACAATAATTGAGAAAAGAAAAATGGAATTTGTAAATATATTTCAGATTTTTTAAACTCGGAAATGAACCGTTAAACAGACATATTTTTATTCAATTGCACTGAAATTAATTAAAACTAATACAAAATGGCTCATAAAGGAAGAATGGAATGTTTTAATTTTGTTCAGATGACCAAAATGAAAGTGAAATTGAATATGACGGATTTATATTATATTTGACGGAAGGCTTACTTTCGCTACTTTGCAAAAATACTCAATTTTCACTGCAGAACTTTGGCTTAAGCTGTAGAGATTATGTCTCAAGCTAAGGAGCTCAAAGTTAAGCCAGAGTTCACAGGAAAAAATCAAATAGATAAGCATGGAAATTGTCGGAATATCTTTAGTTGCTTAAAAAATACTTTTTAAACAAATTTCCTTAACTTGCAACAATAATAATCTCTTTAATTTCTCCCTCAAGTCTTATTTTGTCCAGCATGAAGCTGAAAAAGTGGGTAAAATGGCAAATTCCTGGGCTGTATATCGAACATATTTGATCCTTGAGTCATTAATTAAATATGTGAGACTAAGTTATTGGGTGAAGAACAGAAAAAGAAGAAATTAAATTGCGATAGCCATTTTCTCTCTTGTGGCTTTAATGAGCTTTGCAGTGTGCGCT